TTTTAAATTTTTATTCTCTCACCTTAAAAATATGCCCCAATCTTGAAATTCCCTGCCCTAAGGAAAAGACTCCTGTCGTTCACCAGATCTATACTCCTCATGATTTTATAACCCTCTACAATGACACTTCTCAACCTCCTACACTCCAGTGAAAGAAGTCCCAGACTATCCAGCCTCTACTCAAACCCTCTATTCCTGGCAACATCCTGGTAAATCTCTTCTGAACCTTCTCCAGCTTCCTATAACTGGGCGACCAGAACTGGACACTGCTCCAAAAGAGGCCTCACCAATGTCTTGTACAACATCAACATAACATCCCAACTCCTATGACCAATGAGGGCAAGCAGGCTAAATGCCTTCTTAACCACCATTTTTGTATGTAATACAAACTTCAAAGGAATTACGTATCTAAACCTCTAGGTCTCTCTGTTCTACAACACTAGCTAAGGCACTACTTTTAATTGTGCAAGACTCGCTCGTTTGTTTTACCAAAACACAATACCTCGTATTTATCCAAATTAAACTCTATCTGCCGCTCTACGGCCCATTGACCCAAGATCTCTTTGTAATCCTAAGTAACCTTCTTCGTTGTCCACTACACCACCAATTTTGGGGTCATCTGCAAACTTACTAACCATGCCTTCTACATTCTCATCTAAATCGTTAATATAAATTGACAAAAGTGGACCAGCACCAATCCCTGTGTAACACCACTGGTCACATGTCTCCCGTCAGAAAAACAACCCATCACACTCGGTTCATGCCATTGCCAATTAGGTCCAAAATTGGCTTAATCTCGCCCTGACTCCCAAGTAATTTAATTTTATTAATTAGTCTACCATCCGGAACCTTGTCAAAGGCTTTACCAAAGTCCGAATAAACAATGTTTATCACTCTGCCCTCAAACTTCTCAGTTACTTCTTCAAAAAACGCAATCAAGTTTGTGAGTCACGATTTCCTTTGCACAAAACTATGTTGACCATGCCTATTCATTCCTTGCCTGTCCAAATGCATATAATCCTATCTTTCAGAATCACTTCCAACAGTCAGTGTGGACTTAATGGGTCAAATAGCCTACTTCCACATTGTCAGGATTCTAAATAGGTCAAAATTGTTCTGCATCACCACACTTCCACAGAATTGTGTGACTACATTTTTCTAAGACAGATTTGCATGTCTATGAACAGGACTGCACTTATTGATGAATTCAACACACAGTTAAAATATTAAGTCTAACACTGTAGTTCAAGATACTATAAGTCTGAACTCATAATCCATTGACACTTTCCAAAATATGAGATCAGAAGTATAATTCCATAACTCAAAGCTCTTTTTAAGGGAGGGCTGACCTTTGCTTTTTGAGTTTTAAAACGGCTCTAGAATTCATAGTTGTTGTAATTTAAAAGAAAATGACCTGCTTACATTGGTGGGTGGTTCATTAATATATTGTTCGTTGAATATTACTTCCCATAAATGTTTTTTGGTACGGGGAACACTGACATCAGGATCACATAGCTGATGTAAAATCTCAGAGGCGTGGACTAATACTCAAGAGAACAGGAACTCAGAGATAGTAGGAACTGCAGATGCTGGAGAATCTGAGATAACAAGGTGTAGAGCTGGATGAACACAGCAGGCCAAGCAGCATCAGAAGAGCAGAAAATTTTCTGAAGAAGGGTCTAGGCCCGAAACGTCAGCCTTCCTGCTCCTCTGATGCTGCTTGGCCTGCGGTTCATCCAGCTCTACACCTTAGAACAGGAACTCATACTGGCTCAGATAGCCAGATGACTAGTGTACAGTTCTGAACAATCCCAACAGCATAGATTCAATTCCTATCTTAGCTAAAGTAGGCTTGGCATCTGTCTCCTGGCTCTGCCCCTGACAGTGGAAGCCAAACGACAAATGACCACAGACAAAAACTGACAAAGAAACAGCATGGATACAGCATCAGCAGAGTCAAAGAGCTACCTTTGGACAAAGTACTCATCAAATGAAATGTTAGGAGCTCAAATCCTGTTATAACAGATTAAGAACTGGTTTCAGTTACAAGCAAAAAAAATCTGTAAATAAAATATGGCCATGAAGCTGTCCATTTATCATAAAATCTCAACTGAATTCGTGAATACAATTAAACAAAAACTTAATTTCCTGAGAAAAGCTGACTCCAGACCAATGCCAAAAGGCATAAATCTTGGGTGGTTTCTGAACCAGTCTAGCAAAACCAACATACGCAGCCTCCTCCCAACCTACAACCATCGAGATCTCTGCACTCTAATTCTGACCTGAATCAATGAATTAGCTTAAATGTCACATGTACTCACATGAGTACAGTGAAAAGTTGACAAGTCACCACTGACGGCACCATCTTAGGTACCACCTACGTACAGATTTTTAAGTACAAATTGTTAGGGAAAAAAATTTAAAAATTAGAAAACTAAAATTAGAAAATAAAATGAATTAGGAAAATAGAGAAATGAGCTCAGAATAATAGTCCTGCTAACCGCACCAGGCTTCACCTCGACGTCTGGAGTCCAAGCCCACGCCAGCTTTCACCCCAGGCATTGTCAATGCCACTCGAGGACACGAGGTAAAAAGGAAAAGAAATGCAATTACTACACATTACTATACTATTACTACACGGTTTCCCCATTACCGCGTAGTATCAAAAATGTCTTTCAAAATGTTTTTATGGATATTGTTGTCAAATTCTTGTATATTAACTGTACCTTATAAATGTCAGTTGTTTACACTCCTGTCTTACTAAAATAAGGATGTGTATATTTCACTACCACAGTTGTTTATAATTTCAATTATAGTTTTACATAATTTAAGCAAGTTCTTTGCTCTTCATCCTAACAGGTAAGGCAATGGAAGGGGATTTGAAATGAACATTACGGAATTTTTAAGTTGAGGCATTGTGAGACAGAGGCTAGGGAAGATGAGCAACCAAAGAGGTGATAGATAAATAACATTTGTAACAAGAGACAGGCAACAGAGTTTTAAATGAGAGACAACAAGGTGCAGGGTTGGATGAACACAGCAGGCCAAGCAGCATCAGAGGAGCAGAGAGGCTGACGTTTTGGGCCTAGACCCTTCATCAGAAAAGGGGGAGGGGAAGGGGGTTTTGAAATAAATAGGGAGAGAGTGGGAGGCGGATAGAAGAGGGATAGAGGAGAGGATAGGTGGAGAGGAAACAAACAGGTCGAAGAGGCGGGGATGGAGCCAGGAAAGGTGAGTGTAGGTAGGGAGTTAGGAAGGGGATAGGTCAGTCCAGGGAGGACGGACAGGTCAAGGGGGCGGGATGAGGTTGGTCGGTAGGAGATGGAGGTGCGGCTTGAGGTGGGAGGAGGGGATAGGTGGGAGGAAGAACAGGTTAGGGAGGCAGGGACGAGCTGGACTGGTTTTGGGATGCGGTAGGGGGAGGGGAGATTTTGAAACTTGTGAAATCCACATTGATACCATTGGGCTGCAGGGTTCCCAAGCGGAATATGAGTTGCTGTTCCTGCAACCTTCGGGTGGCATCACTGTGGCACTGCAGGAGGCCCAGGATGGACATGTCGTCTGAGGAATGGGTGGGGGAGTTGAAATGGTTCGCGACTGGGAGGTGCAGTTGATTGTTGCGAACCGAGCGTAGGTGTTCTGCAAAGCGGTCCCCGAGTCTCCGCTTGGTTTCCCCAATGTAGAGGAAGCCACACCGGGTACAGCGGATGCAGTATACCACATTGGCAGATGTGCAGGTGAACATCTGCTTGATGTGGAAAGTCTTCTTGGGGCCTGGGATGAAGGTGAGGGAGGAGGTATGGGGGCAGGTGTAGCACTTCCTGCGGTTGCAGGGAAAAGTGCCGGGTGTGGTGGAGCTGGAGGGGAGTGTGGAGCGGACAAGGGAGTCACGGAGAGAGTTGTCCCTCCAGAAAGCAGATAAAGGTGGGGAGGGAAAAATGTCTTTGGTGGTGGGGTCGGATTGCAGATGGCGGAAGTGTCGGAGGATGATGTGTTGGATCCGGAGGTTGGTGGGGTGGTACGTGAGGACGAGGGGGATTCTTTTTTGGTTCTTATTGCGTGGACGGAGTGTGAGGGATGAGGTGCGGGAGATGTGGGAGACACGGTTGAGGGCGTTCTCGACCACCGAGGAGGGGAAGTTACGGTCCTTGAAAAACGAGGACAACTGAGATGTACGGGAGTGGAATGCCTCATCCTGGGAGCAGATGCGGCGGAGGCGAAGGAGTTGGGAATAGGGGATAGCATTTTTGCAGGAAGGTGGGTGGGAGGAGGAGTATTCTAGGTAGCTGTGGGAGTCGGTGGGCTTGAAA